GGATTAGGCAGCTTATCGGAAACAGGTGGCGGCGAGGAGCCCGTCTGCTTGTTGGGCAGGGGAGGCATGAGCTAACCTTCTCCCACTTGTCCAGGGACCGGGGGGCTAATCCTGGGAACAAGGCCCCACCTTTCGCCGGTCCCCAGAACAGCCTTCCCTTTTGTCAGCTGTTCCTTTCCTTTGATACTTGACTTGGTGCGGTCGCAGCAACGCTGAGAGCCCTGCTAATGAATTGCCCAGGAACCAGCCAGCCAACAATTGCCTTTCTCCCCTCCCTCTCGCCTCTGTCTATTCTCCGGTCGTAATCCCACAGGCGAAAAGCCTTGTGTGCATTTTCCCCTTTCCTATATAGATATATATATATATAGAGAGAGATTTGTTAAACAACAACCAAAAAGCGCAAACGTAACAAAAAGAGAAAAACACACACACTAAAGAAATCAAAGATGGAATCCGTAAGGGTCGCAACCTGAAAAGGACAAAAGTACAAAGATCTGGCACAGCCCAAGGGATAATGAAGTGTTAACTCATACAAAGATCCGCTTTACAAATAAGAAAGATTTATAAAAGTATTCTCCACCTGTGGGTTTCGTTATTATTGAGAATAAAGGTTCTGTATAGTCTGAAATGAGCCAGGAATTTGCATACATAGCAGTGGCAGTGAGTGAAGAAATGAAATAATGCCCTAGATGTGATAAGGTTGCAGTATTTCAAAACTGTTTCAGACTGCTGTATGCCAGCTATATCCAGGAAATTCTGGATGTATGACAACCCTAAATATGCATGTATGTGTGTGTGTGTATTGTTCAAGCTCTGCTCTCTCAATACTTTTAGATCATGAGATAATCTTTTTCAAGAAGGGCAAACTGCCAAACCCTTTCAAACCCTGCTCTAGTTATCTCCCGCTTGGACTACTGCAATGGGGCTACCTTTGAAGGTGACCCAGAAACTGCAGTTAATCCAGAATGTGGCAGCTAGACTGATGACTGGAAGTGGCCGCCGGGACCACATAACACCGGTTCTGAGAGATCTGCATTGGCTCCCAGTACCTTTCCGAGCACAATTCAAAATGCTGGTGCTGACCTTTAAAGCCCTAAATGGCCTTGGTCCAGTATACCTGAAGGAGCATCTCCACCCCCATCGTTCAGCCCGGACCCTGAGATCCAGCGCCGAGGGCCTTCTCGGTAGTGGCGCCCACCCTGTGGAACACCCTCCCTTCAGATGTGAAGGAAATAAGCAGCTATCCTATCTTTAAAAGATATCTGAAGGCAGCCCTGTTTAGGGAAGTTTTTAATATTTAATGCTGTATTGTTTTTTACACTCGATTTGGAGCCGCCCAGAGTGGCTGGCGAAACTCAGCCAGATGGGCGGGGTATAAATAAATTATTATTATTATTATTATTATTATTATTATTATTATTATTATTAAATGCCCCATACAGCATTTTCAACTTTTTAATTGCAAATGATGGAAACAGTAGAAGCTGAAAGGATGGGACTGTCTTCTTTATGGGAGTCATACAGGCCTTTGCAAAAAATATTCATTCTTTGGCCCCAACCCATGTTTGCAATGGTGTTGAGTGAATTTTGGGGCGACACACCCTGAGTTTCCCCTAGAATCCCATGCACCTGGGAATAAGTCAAATTGGACTTACCTCTGGGAAGGGATGGTGGGACGAATACAATTTGGTTTGCATTTTAAAGCAAACTGATGGAATTCACTCTTCCTGAAACAATAGAGTAACCTAAACATAGCCATCCCTTGAAACCTGCGCTTCTGCAAATTTTGCAGTGTGCTTCACTAGCCAAGTAATGCCTGCATCAAATTGTATATATTGTTGAACACAACACCCCAAAAATCATTATATTCGAGGAAAACAAACTGTGTATCTTAGGGGAAATCACTAAAGTTTCCGTTTTCCATTTTGCAATTCAGTTCTCCATCCAAGCCATGCGCGTGCTAGAGTCAAGTGTCCTTTAAAACTGCACGTTAGTGAAAACAAGATACAAAAAGTGCCTTATATTAGGAGAAATTGCTTTGCAAAAAAAAAATACGTACATTAGGCACATCACCACACAAACGTGAATACAGTGGTACCTCGGGTTAAGTATTTAATTTGTTCCGGAGGTCGGTTCTTAACCTGAAGCTGTTCTTAAGCTGAAGCACCACTTTAGCTAATGGGGCCTCCTGCTGCCACCGTGCCGCCGGAGCACGATTTCTGTTCTCATCCTGAAGCAAAGTTCTTAACCTGAAGCACTATTTCTGGGTTAGTGGAGTCTGTAACCTGAAGCGTATGTAACCTGAGGTACCACTGTATTAGAAGTTTGCCCCCAAATGCCATTCAGTTTTAAGGGAGGGGACCACAGCTCAGTAGTAAGAGTATCTGCTTCCCATGCAGATGTTCCCAGGTTTGGTCTCCGGCGTCTCCAGGTAGGGCTGAGAGAGATACCTGTTTGAAACCCTGGAGAGCTGCTGCCAGTCAGTGTAGACCAGCGGTTCTCAACCTGTGGGTCCCCGGATGTTATTGAACTACAACTCCCATCATCCCTGAGCTCTGGCCTTGCTAGCTAGGGTGATGGGCGTTGTAGTTCAACAACATCTGGGGACCCACAGGTTGAGAAAGCCTGGTGTAGACAATACTGAGCTGGATAGACTGACAGTCTGACTCAGTACAAGGAAGCTTCGAATGTTCCCAAGGCGAGGGGGAGTGACCTAGCTAAGCCTGGCAGGACAGCTCACTCTATGGCATTAACCCCTTCGTGCATTAATTAGACTTAAGCATGTTGGTTATATGAGGCTGGTTATTCTACGTAGAGCGCGGCAGCAACTCCACAACTTGTGATTCTCAGCAGCTGATATTGAGAAGCATTCCTGCCTCCAGTGGGGAAGTGGAACTTAGCCACAGTGCCTAGTATTCACTGACATTAACCTGTAGTGCTTGGAGCATGGGCATAGCCAAGGGAGGGCAGGGGAAGTAGATGCCCACCACTAAATCAATAAAAATCAATTAAAAAATACTACCCCCCTAACAAAAATCTTGGCTATGCCCATGGCTTTGAGAAAGAGCTTATTCATCCACAGTGGTACCAGCAACTTTAATTTTAAATGTAGTAGGGGTATTGGGGGAGGGGGAAGAAACTGTCTGCCCTTTTCAGAAAGGAGTCTCAATTTTTTTTTTAATTTTTTTTTTTTTTTAAGAAATCAAGAAGACAGCACTGACTTGCGATGTACATACTTCCCCTCCCATCCAAGGTGGCTGTTCCTGTCTGTGGCAGCGATAAGACAGAAATTATTGTGTTGTACTGAGGAGCTAACTAATGTCTACATCTTCACCCACGTCATGACTCAAAACACAGCCGTCCTTCAAAATTCACATTTCCCCAATTTTTGTGTTGCAGCCAAAGAGTGTGTGTGAAAGCGCAGATATTAATTTTAAAAAAGCATAGAAAGAGGCATTATATTAGGAGAAATGGCTGAAAATGGTATACGTATATGTGCATATTAGGATAAATTTGCACTCAGATGCCGATGAATTTTCATAAGGATTCCATTCTTTTGTTGCAAATTTCTGCAGAAATGTGGCAAAGCGAATTTAAGAATGGAAAATGCGAAAATGAGAGTGACTGAAATTGATAGTCTTTCTGTTAAAAAAATAGAAGCACTACCCAGCTATGTAAAGTTGGCATGCATTTTAATAATGCATTTTTAAAAAAATAAAAAATGTATTGTTATTTGTGTTTTTTACTTTCTAAGGTCCACTTGATGCCTATATTATGTAAACTGCTTAGAGAGTTTACAGTTAAGCGGTATACAATTCTGTTTGGCAATTTTAAAAATGCAATAAATAATGGACAAATACGTAGGGTTGGGTATGAAACCCGGAGGAACCGAGCCTCTGAAATGATCCTCGCCCTGATTCTCATCCATCCATAAAAAGTTTTGCAGGAGGGCGATTTGTGGCAACACAGAGAAAATTGCTTGATCCAAGTGGTAAATTGCTGCATGCTAACAGATTGTCACAAGGAGACAGATACACTGCAGAGGGATTTAAAACACCCTGTGCCTGACCCTAAGCCCTTGTTGAACAGTTGCACCCCACATAGTGCCGGATTATCAAATAGGCAGAGGAGGCACTGGCCTATGGGCCCCACGCCTTTTAGGGGCCCCACGACAACGGATCAAAATAATATTGATTTGCTCTTGAGAGAAAATGACAATCAAGCTTTCTTAGTTTGATGCTATCCCACTAAAGCACACACACAGATTTTTGACAGAAGAAGAAGAAGAAGAAGAAGAAGAAGAAGAAGAAGAAGAAGAGGAGTAGTAGTTTGGATTTGATATCCCACTTTATCACTACCCGAAGGAGTCTCAAAGTGGCTAACATTCTCCTTTCCCTTCCTCCCCCACAACAAACATTCTGTGAGGTGAGTGAGGCTGAGAAACTTCAGAGAAGTGTGACTAGCCCAAGGTCACCCAGCAGCTGCATGTGGAGGAGTGGAGACGCGAACCTGGTTCACCAGATTACGAGTCCACCGCTCTTAACCACTACACCACACTGGCTCTCCACAGGGCTGAATCCAGCAATGGCTGCACACCCCAGCCACTTGTATTAAGCAATTCATACTCATTTTGCCTCTAATGCATATGAAGATCCAGGACCCACCTTTAAGAAAGGTCAACCTTCTTATATGGAAAGATGATTGGAGACTTCATTGCATTGCATCACGTTGTGAGCTAGTGTGGTCACAGAATCATAGAACTGTAGAGTCGGAAGGGACCACTTGAGTTATCTAGTCCAACCGCTCTGCAATTCAGGAATTTTTTGCACAACCTTCCTCCCTCCCTTCCTTCCTTCCTTCCTTCCTTCCTTCCTTCCTTCCTTCCTTCCTTCCTCTCTCTCTCTCTGTCTCTCTCTCTCTATTTCATTTGTTCTAGATATAATAATATTGTTTTGTGAAAGCTTTAATAAAAATTCTGGGGGCAGGGAGGGGAAGGAATCCTTTGCCCAATGTGGGGCTTGAACCCGCAACACTGAGATTAAGAGTCTCGTGCTCTACTGACTGAGCTATCACTTTGGTGTAGTGGTGTAATGCTTAGGATGCTTAGAGGACCTGTGGGAGACCAGGGTTCAAATCCCCACTCAGCCATGAAGCTCACTGGGTGACCTTGGGACAGTCACTGCCTCTTAGCCTAACCTACCTCGCAGGGTTGTTGTGGGGATTAAATGAGGAAGGGGAGGAGCCATGCAGGCCACCTTGAGCTCCTGGGAGGAAAAGGTGGGACAGAAATGCAATGAATCAATAATGCTTTGGTGAGACCTGTTTGCAAACAGAGAAGCTAAGCCCCCATCAATTTAAAGTCCCATGAATTTCCCCAAAGCAGCGATATACCTTTGGGACCTTTCAAAGACTCCTCTTGCCAACATCAGCTGTGAATCCCAGGCTCCCACCCTCTGTTTCGACTCTCAAGCTGTTTCTCTGCAGAGCCATGAGCCTTTAAATCTGCCAACACTCTTTGGAGATGGCACTTTCTCAGTACCTGTTAAAGCAGGGGGAAACCTGTGACCCTTGAGATGCTGTTGGACTCTAACCCCCATCACTCCCAGCCAACGTGGCCAGTTCTCTGGGCGCCTGGGAGTTTTAGTATAGCAATGTCTGGGTCGTAACAGGTTCCCTAAAGGTAAAGGTAAAGGGACCCCTGACCATTAGGTCCAGCCGCAGACGACTCTCGGGTTGCGGTGCTCATCTCGCTTTATTGGCCGAGGGAGCCAGCGTACAGCTTTCGGGTCATGTGGCCAGCATGACTAAGCTGCTTCTGGCGAACCAGAGCAGCGCAGGGAAACACCGTTTACCTTCCCGCCAGAGCGGTACCTATTTATCTACTTGCCCTTTGACATGCTTTCAAACTGCTAGGTTGGCAGGAGCAGGGACCGAGCAACGGGAGCTCACCCTGTCATGGGGATTCAAACTGTCAACCTTCTGATCAGCAAGCCCTAGGCTCTGTGGTTTAACCCACAGCACCACTCGCATCCCTACAGGTTCCCTACCTCTGTGTAAAAGAGACGTACCTCATGCTTAGCTGTGCAAAAGCCTGGAGTTAGGAGTGCACTCTTCCCCTTAGCTATAATAACAAGCATAATACACTATATCAGCCATTGCCAACCTGATGTTCTAGACTCCAGCTCCCAGCAGGGATGCTGGGAGTTGTAGTCCAAAACATCTGGAGGGCATCAGCTTGGCAAAGGCTGTACTGAGTGATTATTTCCTTCCTTTCCATGGGAAAGGGGAGCGCACAGCCCCAAGGATGACAGCAAACACAGCTTCTCACTGTTCTGCAGACAAAACTGAATTATGGCACAACTGAGTCCAGGTCCCACTTTGGATCCCACCACCTAAGTTTCCTTGGAGCCAAAGTCTTTCTCCTCTATTTTCTTCCTCCCACAAAGTGCCTTGATCTTCCTGCCAAGAGATGCGGGGTGAACAGCTGTCTGAGAACGGTCAGTGCAGGGTTGCGGTCATGAGCTGAATGCTGTTCTCGAGACCTGAAAGGCTTTGTCTGAGGGGGTGGAGGAGGCATGCCTGCCCCACATCGTTGCAAGAAGTGGGGTGTTAGATCCCCCTCACTTGTCCATTCCACCAGCACCCCCCTGCCAAAATTGGATGCAGAGTTGCATATTTTTTGCATGCATCAATTGAAAGGCATAGCTGTGGGTTTTGATATAATGACTCTCATTTAAATCAAGAGTGGGGGACCTTTTCTGGCTGGCAGTTCTTATCCTTATTGTTCTACCCCTGGAGGGCCAATCTTGACAGGTGGAGGAGGCTGCCCAACATTTTGAGGTGGGGGTTCCTCCCATTCCTACCTGTAGAGGCGAGAAACTGAAGCTGGGACCTTCCATATTCAAAGCAGATGCTCTTTCTAATACCCAGATGTCCTTCAGCTTTTGCACTTCCCCAGATCTTGCGATCTTGTGTGTGTGTGTGTGTGTGTGTGTGTGTATGAAAAAACCCCAAAATGCATATAAAAATGCATATTTTAGCGTAAAGTATATACAAAACCACAATGTTTTTACACACTTATGACTGAAAGGACACAGACTAGAAAGAGACTAATTAATTCATCCATAGCTCATGCCCATATCACAGAATCATAGAATTGTAGAGATGGAAGAGATTTTGAGGGTCATTTTTCTGTAGTCCATCCTTCTGCAATGCAGAAATCTCAGCTAAAGCATCCAATACAGATGGCCATCCAGCCTCTGCTTAAAGACCTTCAATGAGGAGAGTCCACCACCTTCCAAGGGAGTCCAACAGCTTTTACCATCAGAAAGTTCTTCCTGATGTTTAGTTAGAATCTTCTTTCTTGTAATGTGAAGCCATTGGTTTGGGTCCTACCCTCTGGAGCAGGAGAAAACAAGCTTGCTTCATCTTCCATGTGGCAACTGTGCTTTCCATGCTCCAGGACATGGATCTCTTCACAAGTGTACATATTATGTGACTGCTCCTCCCTTTCTATTTGATTTATTCCCTTTGAACAGCTTATATCCCTGAATTTCTACATTGCAATCATGAATCTTTACTCACCAAGTTTCAGTGATGCCATCTATGTCATATTTGCCACCCTGACTTAAGAGCTCAGATTCATCTTGCTTGTTTCTCATACTCTGTGCATTTGTATAGACACAACTGAAGCCATGAACCATTCCTTCCAGCTGCTTCCTTCTTGTAGTTTCCTGCCCTTCAGCGGGTTTCTGTAACACCACCACAGTTTCCTGTGCATTGATGAAGCTATTCTCCTTAGTACCATGTGCTCCCCATCATCTGGATTTAGTTTAAAACACTCCTGATCAGGTTCGCAAGACTCTTAGCAGATACATTTGTGCCAACCACTGTGACTACATGGTGTCAGAAGTGGTGAAGATAGTGTCATTACATAGTTTAGTCACTAGGTGGCTGTGGACCTAGCTATATCTGGGCGGAGTCAGGAGTTGCCTGTTCTGTTCCGGTTGGTGAGATCCAGACTCCTGAGTGCTATATCCTCTTCCATGACAAAATCACCCATAGCTGAGGGTCTGGGAGACAAACTCTGCATTAGCAGCAAAGGCTAGAGCATTTCAGTCTTCCTATATCTGCAGATCCTATTTCCAGGGAGAGTTCCAGAGCCCTCAGCCCACCCTCTGCGATTCCCTGGATAAAGAAAAAGCAAAATTTGGAGAAGTGCAAATTTTGTAGGATGGCTGTGTTTCAGTTTGCACATTGTTTCAGAAAGTGTGAATTGGGAGAATTCTCCTTTAAATGTAATTTGAGGGTTCACCCACATTTACGTGTAGCCCTGAGCTTTCTAGGTACAGGTGTGCACTTTCCTGGTCCATGTCCAAGCACCCCCCCCTCTTTTTTGGCCCTACCACTTTCTCCAGGAAAACCTACTCATGAATGCTGAATAAGAAACAAAGGCAATTTGGTTCTCCCCCCCCCAATGGATTGACATTTGCTCCAATTCAGCAGTAATGAGTGGGTTTTTGCGGGGAAAGTGCCAGGACACACACACACACACACACACAGAGAGAGAGAGAGAGAGAGAGCACTTGGACACAGAGCTTTAAAGTGAGGACCTGTGCCTAGACACTCAGCACAAAAGAAAGTCTGGATGAGCCCTGAATCTAATTCCCTCTGCCCCATCTCATGTAGACATAAATGCACACACATATACATTTCTCAGGAAACTTTCCCTTCTGCATCCTTTCTGAAATTTTTGCTACATGAGCCCTGGAATAAATGTAGCAAGGCCACTTAAGCTCTTGCCTTCTGGATCCGAATTTGGATAATTATTTCGCATTGGATGAATGGCATTTGTGCAGAGTGCTTCCGGCGCCCTTTTGCTCCCTTGCCTGGTCTCCTACCCTCTTCCGATATCTCTTCTAGAGAGAAAGCATTGACAATGGCAGCTGGGGATCATTCCCCTTTGATCCGCCCTATGCCCCCCGCTACCCTGCCTAGAAGCGGCAGAGGACAAGGGAGCTTGATCTGCCCTCTTTTTAATGGATCAGGAGATCTGCGGCATCCTTGGGTGGGTGGGCTGGATGTGCCGTATCCATGTGTTCACAGTGGGTTGGGTGGGGGAAGGCGATGCTCAGGTTTTGATTCAGCCTAACAGGATTACCTGCTAATCTGGCACTTTGCTTTCGCTGCACCAATGATATTGTTGAGAAAAGGCTTCTCTAAACCCACTCCTAATCCAACCCACCCAGCAGGGACCCTCATCCTCCTTTCAGGCCCTGTCCTTTGGAATGCAAAAGGCTTGCAAATGCTTTTGATGCTCACCCAGGAGCTACACGACACAGAATGGAGCTGAGTTCCTCTGAGGTCAGCCAGGGCAGAGTCTTCTGGGAGCAATGCGGCTTCACGGTGATATCCCTACTAGCCTGACGGCCACAATGGCTTGTGGGGAACCCCCACTGGAGCAGGACGTTGCCTGAAGCAAGAACATTGGATAGCAGCCGGTGGGCTAAGTATCAGTCGCTTTTGTGTTTCACGGAAATGACCGGTGAGTGAGGATATTCTTCCAACCCTAAATTTATCCATCTCTCCTCTTTTTATGCCTCTTGCTTTTCAGGGACAACCAGCTTTGAGGTTGTTGTTGTTTAATTAAAGAAACCATCATTTCTTTAGCTGGAATCATTCCTTCTGTGTGTGATGTTCAGATTGTAAGCGCCAATCAAAAATCATTTTTATTTGATTTTACAAATATGAATTTATAACCATACCAAATGCACATCCATGTAATAAGATTACTCTGGATCTTGGGACTCCCCCTTCCCCTCCCCTCCACGGGTCCTATTCTCGACATTTTCAACTGCATATTATTTTGTAATCTACATTTTATGTCTATCCATATTGTCCATAGTATTTCTTACATGGCAAGTGAGATGAAAACCCTGCTACTGTTTTCATCTGCTTACAGTGGTCTCCTAAATAAATTATAAACTTTCCCCATTCTTTCTTAAATTTCTTGTCTGCCTGGTGCCTGAGCTTTCTGGTCAGTTTTGCCATTTCAGCATAATCTAACAGCTTAGTTTGCCATTCCTCTCTGGTAGGGACTCTTTCTTCTTTCCACCTCTGGGTTAGTAGCATCCACGCTGCTGCGGTCGCATACATAGAGTTTTTTCTGTTCCTTTGGAATGTCATAAGTGCCAATCCATATGTAGTTAAAACAAGAAGGTGGTTTCAGGAAACTTTGGATAGGTGGGAGGAAATCCATGGCTTTTGTTTTTTTTAAAAAAAAATATCTTGAGAAAACAAATCCCAAAGGGTGGAAGACCTTCAAAATAGCCTCTGTGATTATGGCCACAGAATGCAGCTTGACTGTTGTGTGGTGGTAATGAGAAATGGTGGGAAGGGGGAACCTCATGATGGAATCCTGAACCCTATGCTGCAACTTCTTATGGCATGGCCGACTTGTTTCTTATGTAACTTTATTTCATATCCAGTTCACATTTAAAGGCAGCTCTGTCAAATTTTCACTTTCTGACATGATACGAGAACTGAAACGCAGCCATCCTTCAAAATCCGCACTTTTCTGAATTTCTCTAACAGGTGTATGCATGCATATATTAGGTAAAAGTGTGCATAAAAATGAAATTAGAAGAAATGGGTCTCAAAGATGTACACACCCATGAAATCTGCATATAAAATTTTCCACAAATATGCTGAACAGGATTTTTTCTTTTTTAAATTGCTACCAAAATGTGGGTGACTGAATTTAAGACTAGAAAAATGAGAAACGGAGAGAACCAAGAGTGACAAATCCTTAAGTCCCTACTTGGGAGTCTTGCGCAGCTGGGAAAGCCTTCCCCAACCTGGTGCCCTCCAGATGTCATTCCACAATCCCAAGCCAGCATGATCATTGGTCAGGGGTGCCAACTTAAATAAAATATGGGGAGGAGGAAACCCAGGTAAGCCCCATCCCACATAACTGATCACACGCCGTTTGAATGGCAATGCCTGTCAACTTTGGGGGTGTCCTGGCCCCCTCAAATATTTTATGGGGGAGTGAACAGACCTTGGTCCCTAGCAGCTGGCTCTTATGATCAATGGTCAAGGATGAGGTCCAGTGCAGTTTTCCACATTTGCAGAAGGCTAGTACAGGGGATTGCAAATAAACTGACAAATGTTCAAAGGTTGGAAGTAAGGCTAAAATCATGCCTACTAAAGGTGGAAAGGGTATGTTAAGATGGTGCTTCGGCAACTATTATATATGATTATATACAAAGTGCTACATTTATAACTATGCAGGCGGTGCTTCCAGACAACCTGTTTATTGAGCATTCATCCTTATTTATTTATTTTGGTGGAGGTTAGATGACATTGTGTTGATTAATGGGCATGACTAAATAGGGTGTATTACTTTCAATGGGCCTATCCTGGGTAAATCTCAACTGGGGACTTCTCATCGTCTTAATGTAGGGTATTATTTTTTGCAATAATTTTCCACTTAATGTATTTATCTATTTTGAAAGAGAGCTGGGGCAACAGCCAAGAAAGGGGAAAATCTATTCATTTAGGTTCCCTCTCAGTTGCTCATTTTTTCCAACCTTACATTCCAATCTCCACATCGGTTTGCATTTCTTTTCCTTTCTCTTTTAATGTCCTCATGAAAATCCATCCCTGTATTTGTGTGAACTTCTCCTAGCACATACAATTTTGCAAATCAATTTCCCCTAATAGGATGCATCTTTGTATTCACTTACGGCGTGCATTTGGAATGCACATTTCACTCCAGAATGTGCAACTTTATACGCATTTTACTTGGCCTTGCAAAATTCAGAAAGCTGCAAATTTCGAAGGACTGCTTTGGTACACGTATTTCTTGGGGCTGTCTGAATCGGAGAAGTTTGCCTTTAAATGCAAAGTGAATTGAACCTATCTCCCCCCCATCCCTAGCTAGGATCCATGGGCTATCTCCAACACACATACTACTCAGAGTAGACCCACTGAAGTGCACGGACACAACTAACTCAGGTCCATTAATTTCAGTGGGTCTGCTCTGAGCTGGAGACAACCCTAGATTCTTAATGTATGAAATGAAAATCCTTTTAGAAAAAAAATAGGTGTGTGGGGTGTGTTTGTTTGACAGCATCTAAGCAAACACAGACACACATTCACACTACAGCTCCCTCCGGTGTTTTCCTGGGGACGTTCATTCTGCTACATTCAACGCCAGTCTTCTCCTTGAGAGGACTTCCTCCCACCCGCTGAACCAGGCCCTTTCTGCCTCTAGATTTATGAGGGGATGAGGCTGCTCATCCTGTTATGGTTGCCGCTGCCAGAGTCGGCTGAAGCGAGAGGAATTCTGCTCCCACACAGAAATGTTTTCGAAACCTGGTTCTTGGCTCCCTGCAGAGAGTCTGGCAGGGAGATGGTTCGCCTCTGTTGTCACAGGAAGTGCTGATCAAAGCTGTCGCTTGTTTTCCAACATCCTCTGTTATCTCTCGGCTGGCTTCTTTGCTGTGGAAGACACTTCGAGGGAGCTGTTTTCAAAGAAGAAACTGGGAGTGATACAAAAGGCAATGTGGCCATTCTCACCTGGGGATGGGAAGAGATGTCTGATGCGGTTCATGTTTTAAAAGTGGACCTTCCTCATTCGCATTTTCTGGGGGGTGGGGGGTGGGGACCTCCAGGGAATGACAAACAGCCATCTTTCGAAATCCTGCAAAAGTTCCAAGGCATTTCTCCCGCCAAGCCACATGTGCAAAGTTGCATCTGCTAGAGTGACATGTGCGCACAAGTGCAAATAGTAAAGGCCGGATACAAAATTGCATGACAGTCATACCTTGGGTTACGAACGCTGCAGGTTGCGCGTTTTCGGGTTGCAGACTGCGCTGAACCCAGAAGTACTGGAATGGGTTACTTCTGGGTTTTGGCGCTCGTGCATGCGCAGAAGCACAAAATGACATCATGCACATGTGCAGAAGCACCGAATTGCGTCATGCGCGTGTGCAGACGTGGCGCTTCAGGCTGCGAATGTTGTGGGTTGTGAACGTGCCTCCCGCAAGGATCACGTTCGCAACCAGAGGTATGACTGTATACCAGGGGAAATTGCTTTGCAAGGAAGCGCAAATGAGGCAAGCTTGCATACAAAGCTGTGTCTATTTGCACAGCTTGTCAAATTGCTACCAGGCCAAGTTCAAGGTTCTACTATTAGTATATAGAGCCCTTAACATCTTGGGGGCAGTTTACCTGTGAGACCACCTGACCTCATAGAGGCCCACTCAATTGCTTGGATCCACAAAACCGCACTGTTACAGGTGCTACATAATACGTTGTTCTGCATTAATAAGAAATCAATCTTTTAGTGTGGCAGCACCTACACTTTGGAACTCCTTGTCTATTGATGTCATGCAAGCACCTTTACTGTACTCTTTTTGGTGCCTTTGTTTAGATAAGCCAACCCAGATTCATAAGAATGCTGGTGTGTGTTTTAATCTGTGTTTTTTTGTTCATTGCTAATTATATATCTATATATATATATATCTATATATCTATCTATATATATATATATATATATAAATATATATAAATAAACATTTTAAATAGTTGTTTTGAACTGTTTTTAACCCATAAACTGATTTTGAGGTTTTTTTACATTCAAGTAGTGTATGAATTGTATGAAATATATAAATATATATATATTAAATATATATATAAATATATTTGGAGAAAATCACACTAAAATAGTGTTCTGTGTGATGTGTTCTGTGTGATGAATTCATGAGGGTTTCTTTTCTTTTCTTTTAATATCACTGACTAATTCTTTTAATATCACTGACTAATTTAATATCATTTCACTAATGTGAAAATGTGGAGAACTGAACTGAACATTGGAAAAAATGCGAAACTGAAAGAAACTGCAACTGATACACAGACTCCTCCTTAGTCACAAGTGGGCAAAAGTGGACAATACCTCAAATTATTTAGCTTTTTCCAACCGTTTATAAACTGCTTAACATCATAGTTTTGAAGCAGAAAATTACCCCCCCTTTTTTTAAGGAAAAGAAAGTTTCTAGTTCTCATGATACCTAGTTCTAGTTCTCTGTGATGAGGCAACTATCTTGTGGTGTGTGGTGAGCTATTAGGAGCTTGCTATATCTCTTGGTTTGCTTGTCTTGTTCTTTCTCACTGGCTAGAGAGTGTAGCTGTATTCACCTAGAACCTAGAAGATGCTTGTCTGAAGATGCTTCTTCCTCCTATCCTTCTTCCTCTGTTGCAATGGTCCTGTTACCACCACCTACTGGCAACAGCATGAGCACACTGTACTCACGGCCCTGAGGTAATTTTCTAACTGCTTTAGTATTTTAACTTTTGTATGTTTTAAAGCAGGCTTGCAATTATCCCTCAGTTTTGCTGTTTTATCTTTTACAAACCGCCTTGAGGTTTCTTACAATCAAGCCGTGCATAATTTTTAACAAACAAACAAACAAACAAACAAACTATCCCACACCAAACCTCTTGCCTCAAGCCACTTGAACCTGCATTTCTTTAGGGCCAGAGAGGACCTTATTGGTTCCTTGTGTCACCTGACACCGATGGGCCCGAAACTGCGGTACACCTTCTGGTCGTCTTCGGGATGGTGCTGGAGTCCAGCAGAGGTCAGGTTGCTGGTCTGCTCGGCCTGAGGTGTCAAATGTGTGGCATCTGTGGGCAAGAGTTGCTGGTTCAGTTGCAAAGCCTCTCCCTCAAAGGAGAGGTAGGCCGAAAAGGCAGCATAGGGCTTCGGGGACAGATTCTCCAGAAGGAAAGACCCACCTGTTGGAAGGACTCTCCCATGCACTATAATCCAATTCGCAGCAGCCCTGTCCTCCTCTGCATCTGGCCAGCTTGAGCCACATCAACCCAGGACTGGCCCTACCGTTAGGTAGAATGGGGCAAAAGCCTTAGGTGGCAGATGACGAGAAGCAAAGAGCAATACAGTGGTACCTCGGGTTAAGAACTTAATTGGTTCTGGAGGTCTGTTCTTAACCTGAAACAGTTCTTAACCTGAGGTACCACTTTAGCTAATGGGGCCTCCTGCTGCTGCCATGCGATTTCTGTTCTCATCCTGAAGCAAGGTTCTTAACCTGAGCTACTATTTCTGGGTTAGTGGATTCTGTAACCTAAAGCGTCTGTAACCCGAGGTACCACTGTAGTTTGTTTGTTTCTTTATTTACAGTGGTACCTCAGGTTGCATACGCTTCAGGTTACAGACTCCGCTAACCCAGAAATAGTACCTTGGGTTAAGAACTTTGTTACAGGATGAGAACAGAAATCGTGCTCTGGCGGCGCGGCGGCAGCGGGAGGCCCCATTAGCTAACGTGGTGCTTTAGGTTAAGAACAGTTTCAGGTTAAGAACAGACCTCCAGAACGAATTAAGTTCTTAACCCGAGGTACCACTGCATTGCATTTATATACACTGCTCAAGGTGGTGTACATGGATCTCTTCCTCCCCAGTTCATTCTGACAAACAACCCTGTGAGGTTGGCTTGGCTGAAAGATGGTGGCTGGCCCAAGGTCATAGCCCCTAACCCTTAAGCCATGATGTTGGGAGAGCCAGCTGTCATCTGGCACAGTGGGAACATAATCCCCAATGGTATTCTCCAGGTAGGGCTGGGGGGAGACGCCCTGCTCGAAACCCTGGAAGGCCTCTGCCGGTCAGTGCCGGCAGTACTGAGCGAGATGGCCCAGCGGCCTGACTCATCACAAGGCACTCCTCGGTTCTGCCAGCCCCGTGTTCCATCTCTTTGAGCTCCAAATGGAAACAGCTGCAGGCAGGGCCCTCCCCACAGCTTTCCTCATCCCCACGCCCTGCGCCTCACCCTTTCTATTCCTGGGCCTCCTTTGCTGCGACTTGTTCAGGTGAAAGGAGCAGAAATGCTGCAGGTAACATTCCTGGCTTCAAATATTTGTGTAACGTAGCTGTGGGTGGAGGAAGAGTATTGGGGGGTGGGGGAGAGAAATACCTCTCTGACTAATTCCGTACAAATAGGCTAATATGCTAAGGAATGCTATTATATGAACAGAGGGTAAAAAAAACAACACAGCGGTTATCGGAATGTCTGTTCCACTTTGGACAGGCAGGCTGCAAATTTGCAGGTAAGCCGCAAAGGTGATCAGGTGCAGGGAGTCCTGGGAGGGAGGTGAGCAGCGCTTCCAAAATGCCCCCGGAAATAGCGAGGTTGCAAAGAGGAGCCTTCCCTAGGTTTGCACCCCTGTTCAGAAAGCAAGGGACAAGGCAAATCCAAGTCAAATAGACCTGCGGTGAAGAACATTGGGTCTGTAGGCTTACATCTGCCATGAGACCATTCATGTGAACGACAGACAACTCTCTTGCCTCTGCCACCATACAGGTCCCAATGATCAGCTGATAGCCAGAGGTTCAGGGCACAGCGCCATGCAAAACACGGGTCATCTGGTGCCATTGTGAGGATGGTTGCATGGCAAGTGGGGAGCCCTGCCCATTTGTCAGATTTGACCCATGGTGTGTAGGGGAGGCATGGGTCCAGTTTCCCACCCCTAACTTAGACCCCAGCAGCTGTGCCTCTTTAAATGACCCACACTCAGTTTAATATTTGTCACTATGGTGTTCAGTGAGGCGCTTAGGGCTGTAAAGATAGCTCTGAAATCTTGTGGAAAGCGACTTTTTTATCTGCCCTTTTAACCATTAGCAATGGTCTCAACTTAATGACAAGGCAACAATGAACCCAGTTAGCTGGGTTTTCCCCTGGATTCTTGGTTTAAAAAAACAACAACCCTGGGGCCATCTGGGACATGAGGTGGCCTGGATTTCAAGGCTCTCAAGCTTTCGTAGATCTGAAGGTATGAGACAAAGATTTGCAGGCAGTGGAGTTGTTCTATTAGGGCAAACGGGCACTGCCCTACAAACTTCCATTTGCCCCACCTGCCTGCCTTCTTACTTACATACAACCACTCCTTTGCCTCTCTCCTTCCTTCTCCTTAGTATCAGTGTTGCCCTTGTGGAACTCAGCAGAGAAGAGGAGGATGGGACAAAATCAACGTTAGTCGGCTCTGCCTGTCATTTGCTTTGGCGCCACCTACTGTTGGGCTCCTTGCCTTCTGCCCTACCAGTCGCAATGGGCATACCAGCCACTATTAATCTGTAGCAGCATTTTGCCCCACGGTTTAGTGCAGGGATGGGGCAAAACTGTGACCTTCCAGATGTTGTGCAACTCACGGCCAGCTCTACCATTGGGTGGAGTGAGGAGCTGATTTTGGATGTTATGGAAGGGCAGCCAATTGTTAGTAATTTCATTTGTTACTGACCTATGTTTACTGCCAAGAAGAGAGACTTGTGGGATTTTTCTGTCTCAGGTCTCAAGCCATATCCCCTACTGTGCCTGCCTTGTACCCTACCTGAGTATTTTGGCTTGGCTGGAGCGTTCCCTTGAACTGGGATAATACCCCTTGTTTGCCTGGGTGGAGGATGGGGTGGGGGGTTTGTAGAAAACAGTCTACTGTACAGAATAAAAATTTGCATCCATTGCCCCACCCACTTTTGGCCTCTGACCCCGCCCACCACTGACTGGCACATCCAAAAGGGAATGGCACCCCAGCTTAGACTGAGGAGCTGAGCTGGAATCTCCAGTTTTATATAGGCAGGAGCCAACCCTATTGGCCCTTTGTGCCACCTGACATCCCCAGAGCCACTCATTGCAGTAATGCCTTCTAAGTGCTTTGATGGCACCCGAGCAAGGTGGATGACAGGTCAGTAGCTCCCTCTACTGGTGAGTTTTCACAGTAACGCAGAAAGGAGATGCTCATCCACACTTAACTTTGCTCCGCATTTCTAGGCATAGGCCCACTCTTTAAAGGTCCCTTCTGCTTCCTCCATGAAAACCTGCTCTTTATCATTGAATTGGAGCAAACAACCTTCCGTGGGAAATCTGAATTGCCATTTGCTCCAGTTCAAGAGTGGGTTTTCCTGGGGAAATCAGTGGCGGGGAAAATGCTCGGACTGGGAAAATGTGGACCTGGAAAGTGCAGGGCAACTGTGGATGAGCCCTCAAATCTTTGATTTGAGATTGATTTAACCAGGCAAATGGTAAGCCTCAGAATTACTGGAGACCCCATCTGTGACATGGTGGCATGCCCCAAAGAAAAACTGTATCTACCATGGATATTGACTTAATTTGGTGCTGGTTGATCCACGCTGATAAGGATTCGTTCAATACCATGTGGTTCAAAAGATTGTATCTATTGCTAGTAGCCCTGTTGAAATTTATTAGTGTGGCGACTAACTTGAGCAAGTCACTTTCAGTGGGCCAACGAAACATTTAAGCCCACCTGAAATTTGCACACTCCCCTGTCTTGAACACCGATGAGCAGTTTTTGTTCCAAGATTCCTACATCCCCTCAGTTCCATGCCAAACTATATGTTTAAAGCACTATGATATCCCTTCAAAAAGTCATGGCTTTCCCCACAGAACTCTGGGAGCTGTAGTTTGTGAAGGGTGCTGAGAGTTGCTAGGAGACCCCTATTCCCCTCCCAGAGCTGCAATTCCCAAAGTTGCTTAATAGTCAACCCCTCTTGGGATAGGTTGGTCGGTAGATCATGAGACTATTAATCTTAAGGTTGTGGGTTTGAGCCCTGAGTTGGGCAAAAGATTTCTGCATTGCAGGAGGGAGAAGAAGAGTTTGGATTTGATATCCCGCTTTATCACTACCCGAAGGAGTCTCAAAGCGGCTAACATTCTCCTTTCCCTTCCTCCCCCACAACAAGCACTCTGTGAGGTGAGTGGGGCTGAGAGACTTCAGAGAAGTGTGACTAGCCCAAGGTCACCCAGCACTGCATGTGGAGGAGCACAGACGCGAACCCGGTTCCCCAGATTATGAGTCTACTGCTCTTAACCACTACACCACACTGGCTCTCAGTGTGGTTGGACTAGATGACCCTTGCACCCTTAACAAGCTACAGCTCCCGGAATTCTTTAGGGGGTGTCATGACTGGTTTAAGTGGCATCAGGGGCCTTTAAATGTATGGTGCAAATGTGGTCATTGTTCCATTTTGTTGGTTCTTTGGTGATGCTTCCCCAACGTTGCTGTGATATTGCCACTCGGAAACACACTTTAGCACAATAACCCACCCCCCAAAGGAAAATTTGTGGTATTAAAAGTTACTGGATTTCAGAAGGGGCAAACACCAGTTGGAAACGAAGCAGTACGTCTGCCCTGAACCCAGGGCTTTTTTTTTAAGCCGGAAATTACCGGAACTCGGTTTTGGCACTTCTCAGGTGGGCGCCATTGCCATTATAAGAGAACAAGGGAGGTGTTCATGGTGAGATCTGACACCTCTTTTTTCTAGGAAAATAGCACTGCCTGAACCTTTTGCAGGTGCAAACAGTATTGAAAGCCAGTTATCGTTTAGCCACCCCTGGTACCATCACGAAGAGTGCAAATCATTACAAACGCATGATAAAAAATGATGTCTGGAGAAGAAGAGGTCATATGGCTTTCTTGCTGCTGGATACCCACCTCCCAAAGATGTGTGCTGGCAGCTGAGGAGCCTGGGAGATCCTGGACCTGCTCCACGACCAGCTTATTCTTCTTGCAGGCGCTCCTAAGCTGCTGAAGAGATAACTGGTGGGGCCGAAATTCCAGGAAGCCTGAACATTTTTAAAACATAGATCTCATTCACGGTTTCTGTAACCTGAGAGCCAGCCCTGGAGCCAGCCGGGATTAGCAAAAGTAGTTTAGCTTCACCTGCCTCGCCCGGCTTGCGGAAGAGCCGGTGGGCTGCTCTCCCCCTGACGCGGCTGGCTGGGCGAGGGAGAAGCAAGGTGGAGCGAGTGCGGATGCCGACATGGGTAGAGGCAGCAGGCGCACCTGCGGAAGGGCAAACCCCCTGATAAGTTGTGTGGTGGCAGCACCATCTTCGTCCCAGTTGCCACCGACATTCATTTGTCCTTCTTCTCCTGCCAGATAAATACAGTGGTACCTCAGGTTACATATGCTTCAGGTTACAGACTCCGCTAACCCAGAAATAGTGCTTCAGGTTAAGAACAGGTTAAGATGAGAACAGAAATTGTGCAATGGCAGCGCAGCGGCAGCGGGAGGCCCCATTAGCTAAAGTGGTGCTTCAGGTTAAGAACAGTTTCAGGTTAAGAACGGACCTCCGGAATGAATTAAGTACTTAACCCGAGGTACCACTGTATTGGCTTTTTAAGGTAGCAGTTGAGGCTACGGATGGGCAAACCTGTTCCTTTTGGGTTCTCATTCTTTCAGACTTCAGTTCTGTTCTAAACATTTCCAGCTGGCAATTTGGGAGGGGGAAAGGCCTCGTGAAAATTAACCAGCGTTTTACATAAGAAGAGTGTCGCTGGATCAGGCCAATGGGCCATCTCGTCCAGCGTCCTGTTCTCACAGTGGCCAACCAGATACTTCTGGGAAGCCAACAGCCAGGACCCAAGCACAAGAGCCCCTCTTCCTTCTTGTGATTCCCAGCAACTGGGATTCAGAAGCACTGTTGCCTCTAAACGTGGAGGCACAGCAAAGCCAACATGGCCGGTAGCCCTTGATAGACCTCTCCTCCAAGAATTTGTCTAATCCTCTTTTAAAGGCATCCAACTTGGCGTCCATCACTGCCTTCTGTGGGAGAGAGTTCCACAGTTTAACGCTGAAAAAGAACTTCCTTTTTTCTTTTAAAATATTTTTTATTAAAGATTTTGGTTTTTGTTTACAAAAGTACATGCATTGTCTCTTTTTACAGGTTGTGTTTTCTATAGATCAGTTACACTTGTTGTGAGACATTAGTGTTCTATGCAGTATAAGGTTGGGAAGAAAAGAGGTGGCAGGGAGAGGGGATATCTCTATCTCTATCTCTATCTCATTTATATCTATATAAAACTCAGCTTTGTCAAACGTCCATGAATTCTAGTGTTATATATTTTAGAGTAAATTTCTCCTACCATGTTTTTGCATGTGAGTTTGCCTTATATGCTCAATTTCTTTTTTTGCAAAGTGATTTCCTCTAATATAATGCATTGCCATATGCTGTTTTCGTTATGTGCATTTTTTCATACACAGCTTTTTGTACACATTACACAAAGCTGGAAGTCTGCCTTGCAAAATTTGGAGAAACACGAATTCCGAAGGGTGGCTGTGGTTTGGTTTGCAAGCTGCTTTATGAAGAGGAAAATTAGGTAGGTTCATCATCAAATGAATCCAATTTTCCCCCCATCCATAAGTGGTGGCCTGGGGTTACCCTTTTGCAAATAATTGTGGGTTTTGTTTTGTTTTTGTAAGAGGTAGCTGACAACCTGTGATTTTAAATTTTTAAGCGGTGTTTGTTGCAAAGAAATAATGGTTGCGTGCCGCATTTATTTATTTTTAATGAAATTGGGGTATGCAAGAATTTGTGTGATTTAATGAATGAATAAATACAATTATTCTTTGTATAACCTGCCTTTCTCCCAAGCAGCTCAAGGCAGCCTCCACGGTTCTCCCCCACCTCTCCATTTTATTCTCACAACAACCCTGTGAGGTAGGTTAGGCTGTGATAGGCCCTGGAAGGAATGCAGCTTGGGAAGCACATGCTAGAGCATGTGAAATAGTGGTTTAGGATTCAGTCCTCAGCATCTCCTGGTAGGGCTGGAATTCTCTGAAATCCTGGAGAACTGCTGCCAACCAATGTAGAAAAACACTGGGCTAGATGGACCAACAGCCTGGCTCAGTATGAGGGACCTTCCTGTATTCCTGAGAGATAGCGATTGACTCAAAGGCCACCCAGCAAGCTTCATGGCTGAGTGGGGACTTTTTCCTCTTTTTAAATTTTATTTATTGATACACCACACTGTCTCTTGACATGGCAAGTAGGAGGGCAGGAATGGTTCTTGCTGTCTCAGATGATGGAGAGTCACTGCCAGTTAAGGGAGACAAGAACTGAGCTAGATGGACCAGTGGTCTGACTTTGCATAAAAATGGCCATTTATTTGCATAAAAACAGGAAGTGACATCATATTGAGTGTGCTTGGAGGGGAAGGAAGCAGAAGGCATAGATCTAAGAAATGTTTTAGAGGGACACACAGATCTGGGCTTCCATTAACACATTGAAATGCTGTACTAAAGGGAAGGCCTCCTAGGGCTTGCCGATCAGAAGGTCAGTGGTTTGAATCCCCGCGATGGGGTGAGCTCCCGTTGCTCGGTCCCAGCTCCTGCCAACCTAGCAGTTCAAAAGCATGAAGTGCACGTAGATAAATAGGTACCGCTATGGCGGGAAGGTAAACAGTGTTTCCATGTGCTGCTCTGGTTTGCCAGAAGCAGCTTAGTCATGCTGGCCAAATGACC